GAGGTCCCTCATCTTCACTCAGGAACCTAACTGGGAAAAACAAGACACCGCTCTCTGAAGTACTTAAAGCCAAACAGCGCGCGCCGTCTGACGTGTCTTAGTGCTCTGCAGGTGAAGGACAACACACCCTCCTTATGTGAGGTGTGACGTTTGTTCATCACCCACACACAAACTGTCACAAGGTTGATTTTAAAAGCAGACTCATCCCACAGCTGCTTCTGGATAGGTATCTTCTTCTTGGGGTTGAGCTTCTTAAACTTAATGCAACCATGTTTCTAACAACGATACCGGTTTAGTTACTTCAAAATGAATGAGATTAACATCAAAGTGAGACTTGGATACAGAAAATCCAACAGCTCCTCTCACATGGGGAGATCAGCCCAGGAGCCTGTTGAGCCCCTAACTCTCAACCCGTATCTGTGTGGGAACAGCCTCAGCTCCAGTTAATAACACTTGACCCCACATCTGTGTGGAAATAACCTCAGCTCCAGTCATTCTATTAAGTTCTGGGTCGAGAGACCCCAACCCTGCCAGTGTGAAGATGTACTGATTCCCTCATCATTGCCACTGACTCTAAGACACCAGGAACCACAAGATGCACTGTTATTTTACGTGCCACCAAAAGAGAGAGCAGGAATGCAATCAAACTATCACACACTGATTTTAAAATGTATCCTACTCTTAGAGATTAAATGCTGAGTGAAAGTGAAAGTTGCTCAGTCGAGTTCGACTCTTTGTGACCCCGTGGACTATACAGTCCATGAAATTCTCCAGGCCAGAATACTGGAGTAGGTAGTCTTCCCCTTCTCCAGAGGATCTTCCCAACCCACAGATTGAACCCAGGTCTCCTGCACTGCATGGATTCTTCACCAGCTGAGCCACAACGGAAGCCCTGAAGGCTGAGAGTTGCGGATAAAAAGAGGCAAAGGTATTTATTCTGTTCACAGCTGCATTCCCAGAGCCAAAAGCCGTGCCCCGAACAGCAACAGCACACCTCCAGTGGGCACCCCCCGGGTGTGCAGAACACACGAGTGAGTGAACAGGGACAAGTGAGCCCTTGTGAGCAAAACTGCAGTTATTCTGTGGCTGTGAATGATCAACACTTAAAGTGGTACAGCAACACTTAGTTGCTTTAAGCTCTATAAAGATTTTCAATTTGTTTTCAAACTAAGTTGCTAATGGACCGTAGAGTGACATCTCAGACTCTTTTCTGTGCCTGAGACGAGACACAATTGACCGGATCAGTGAGGTTCCACCGTCAGGCCAAGTTATTTCCGAAAGTGTGTTTCTATTCCGACAGGCACAGCTGTGGCAAAGACCACGTCCATTCTGTCCCACCCCCGTCTAGACGTGCACTTTACTGTCACTTTCCTGAAGGCCTGCCACACTCCCTGCGCTGCGAGGAGCACGGGACAAGTAACTCAGGCCACACCCCGGACACTGCACGCCCCCTGGGCATCCTGCCCTGGGACCACCCCGATGTTTCAGACCCCAAGCCTGTTCACCAAAGGGGTTTGAACACCAGGCTCTGTCTGGTCGCCTCAGCCCGTAGGCGCTGCATCTGGTTCTTCTTCTGCTCTGTACACAGGCCGGCCCTCGCGTGTCTGGATGCGCGCCCACTTCCAGCTAGGAAAACAGATGGAAGTTTACAGTGTTTTGGGGAGACAGTGACACATTGACTGATAATTAAGAAGCAGGGCAGCTAAGTGCCACAACAGAGACACATAGGGTATCCCGGGATCCTTGCGGGGCAGGGTGAGGTGAGACAGAAGGCATTTTCAAGCAAGTGATGCTGAACTGAGTGCTGGGAGTCGGAGAAAGGTGGGGATCTTTTCAGAGAACGGGAGACATGAAGGCAGAGGTGAGAATCAGTGTACTGAACACCAGGAACCAGTGTGGAGCAGTCACATGGGGAAGAGGGGCTAAGGTATGGAGAGAAAGGGAGGACAGACCGTGGTCCGCAGACCTGGGATTCTGACGTGTCCAGCTGTTTTAAGAAGATGAGCCAGGCTGGTTCCAGAGCAGGGGTTCACTGGGGGCAACTGGAGTTCAGATGAGCGAGGAAGCAAGCAACCACAGAAGTCTAGATGAGATGGGGGCCTCCAGGCAGGGGAGAGTAGTTCAGGAAGTGAGACAGCTGAGACCAGAGGACACTGGATGCAGGGTAGGGGAGAGGAGGCCAGCTAGAGTCTGGGTGGGGAGGGGAACTAGCATCCAAAATGAAAGAGCAGGGGCAGCAGAAAAAGTTTGGTGGTTGGGGGCGGGGGAAGAAAAATGAATCACTTTTGGACATTCTGGTCTAAGGACACACAGGTGGATGTTGCCAGGTGAGTAGGGCATATCTGAGCTGAAAGCAGCAAAGGTCTGGGTTAGAAGACCAGGGTTAGAAACCTCCAGCATACATGGGATGAGTAAATTAAATCTGCTGGGGAGACCCCAAAGAGAGTTAAAGTCAGGAAGTTTGGCTTCATTCCTCTTTCTAGCAGACTTCCCATGAAATGATACTTTCTTTCCCCTGGGTAGTCTTTTGTGGTTTCTCCTTAAAATAAAACATTAACTAAGAAGGTCAGCACAAGGAGAGATAACATCAATTCTTTGAAAGAGGCTCTATGTACCAGAACTAGCAATAAAGAAATCAGACTTATCTCGTGTGCTCAGTCGTCTCTGAGACTCTGGGATTCCATGGGCTGTAGCCCGCCAGGCTCCTCTGTCCATGGGATTCTCCAGGCAAGCATACTTCAGTGGGTTGCAATGCCCTTCTCCAGGAGGGTCTTCCCGCCCCAGGGATCGAACCCAGGTCCCCCACATTGCAGGCGGATTCTTTACAGTCTGAGCCACCAGGGAAGCCTAGACTATCTTAGTACCATAAAAACCTCCACCGCACACTGTAGCTCATTCTTTCAGGAGTTTACAGGTCAGCTAATGAAATCCTTCAATGGCACCCACTGCTGTTTAAACCCAAATCACAAAGCCCGGTGTGACCTGGCCACTGCCTACTCGTTCAACTTCATCTTCCCTCACCCTCCCTCACTTACGAACCTTCAGCACTGCTAGCCCGTCTCCTCTCCGACCTGCTGAACGTCAACGGCCCATGTAGAGGATGGCTTTCTTTCCTTGGTTTTCGTTTCCTTTACTTTGCTTAAAGGAGCTCTGTTTCAGTTATAAATTCCTCCCTAGACTTCCCGGGACAACTCCCTCCAGGGTAGGGATTCTGTTTTCTCTTTTGCAATCCCAGCTCCTAAACGTGTTGGTCAAGTGAAGGCGTAACTCAAAGAGCGCACCAGAATCTATCAGGTGAGCCCAGTGATCCAGCGTCCAGGCTCGGGGTTGGACAGAACGGGTCTATCTTAAGCTTCACCACCCACTGTGACTTTCAGCAGACCACCCGACCTTGTCGGCCGCAGCCCCTCAACCTTAGAACCGGACGAGACCCAGCAGAAAGCGGACACAAAAAGCACATGTGGGAGTGAGACTCAGTGCCACACGCTCTCCCCGCTCCGCCCGCGGCTCCCCCGGGCCGTCCCCTGTGAGGCACCTCCCGACCGGGCCCCCTTCCCGCACCCCCCAGCCCGGCCCACCTCAGGCTCCCACGCCCGGCCGCCATGTGCGCGGCGGACCGCCGGCGCCCACCTGTCTCCCTCTGCGTCTTCACGCTGATGTACTGGCGCAGCTTCCTCATCGCCCGGTCCCGGATGCCCTTCTCGTGGGACGCCAGCCGCTGAGCGAACTGAATCTCGGCCGGCTGCATGGCGGGGGCCATCGCGTCCGTTGGAGCATCCCCCGCCTCAGCCCGCCGCCACCGACCGCCCGCCGCCTAGCCGCCCCGGCCGCGACTGCGCAGAAGGCGGTGGCGCGTGCAGCGGCGCGCGGGCTGATGGCATCACAAAGGCGCCGGCCGCCGCTCGCAGCGCGTTCTGGGAGCTAGCGCGGCTGCCCAGGCAGCCGGCTGAGCGGCGCATCCCTGGTTAGCGGCGCGCTTCTCCGCCTCTGCGATCTCTCGGTAGCCAAAGCTCGTCGCCGTTGACGGCGAGGTTAGCCGGCGTTGCGTGTTGGCCAGGAAGAGTCCAATAGCCAGTTTTACGTGGTCTAGAATCTTTGCGCCCACTCCACTAAATCCCCGTCCAATTGGCAGCTGTTCCCCCGGGAGACGCGGCACCGAGTCTTGAATCGCTTTGGACTTCTCGGCCGCCAGGGCGGGGTGGAGGTGGGGGAGAGAGGCTGCCCTTGGGAATTTTGGCGGGATGTTGTGGGCAGCCCCCTCGAGGGCGCTCTGGTCTCAGCGACCGGCAACCCCCAGTGCCCGGGTCCCGGCCGCGACGATTGGGAGCGTGAGCTTGAGGTCCGCCCGCGGGCCTGGAGGGCACCCACTCTGGGCACTTGGCCGTGTCAGCTCGCGGCCAGCTTCAGACAGACAAAATCCTAGTGGTACAGTAACTGGTACCTTTGAACGCACGGACACTGTGCGAACTCAGTGGACGTGTAGGGGCAGCTGAATGGACTGGGCCATGTGTCCCAGCTTACAGTAGCCGTTTCAGTTAGGTACCAGCGGACTGGACTAAGTCTCCCTATCGAGGGCAGACCTCCCGAGCAGTCTGTTGTCAGAAAGCTTTGGCCTTTGCTCATGGAGCTGGGAGCTGAGTGCGGGAGCCAGGCGGTCAGCTGCTGGTTCCTTTGAACCTGTCACCCCTTGGTCTGACATCCCTCGCCAAACGGGAAAGGCCCTATTCGATTTATTTCACCGGACACTTACGCTAGGGTCTCATTGTCCTTGTACTTTGCAGTTAACAAAGTTTACGAGTTTGGTTAAGCCAGAAGAGCCAACGCGGGATCCCGCCGACCCACACTGGGTCTTTCAGCCGAGAATGCTTCGAAAACTGCGGGGCCTGAGCCTCGCGGCTCTCCGTACCTAACTCTCGGCGTGGACGCGCTCCCGCGCTTTCTGGCGTGAGGGTCAGAGGGCGCGCCGCCGCGCAGGCGCAGGAGCTGAGGCCGCGGTAGTCATGAGCGAGGCTGGCAGCGCTGAGGAGGCTTGTCGGGTTAGTGCGGGCATCCAGGTCTCGGCCTGTGGGCCCTAGCTGTCGCCCTCGGCTTTCCCACACCGCTCCTGGGTGCCGTCCAGTGTGCTCGGAAGGGCCCCGGGTGTCGTCCGCAGACAGCATGCCCTGGGTAGGGGATGGGAGGCAGCAATCTCTGCCTTGGAAAATTCTCCCAAATCCTCTGGGATGCGGGTCCAGGGGGCCGCGCAGCGGGCGGTGGGCGTGCTCCTGTGACCCCGGGCCAGGCCGGGCCTGGCCGCCCACGAGGCCCTAGCCGTGTTGGACTTGTCAGCCTCAGGGGTGCCCGGCTGCCGATTTCAGATCCTGGTTGTGTCCCCGGTCCTGGGGTTCCTGAGAGTCACCTGGCTTCCCTGTTTCCCGTTTCCCAGGGTTGTGATCTGAATGAAGCAGGACGGCCCGCAAAGGGCCTGGCGCACCCAGTATGCATCCACTCCGATGCCTTTTCCGCCTGATAGCTTGATGCCAGAGCATTAATAAAAAGTTGCTGGCGTTTTCTTTGGGCTTCTGGAATAGGTCCTTGTTTGCACTTTAAAAAAACTGGCTCACAGTGTGAAGGCTGGGGCTTGAGCTCTCTGGGTGTAATATACATAGAAAACAGAACATTAGGTAAAGACGTGGTTTGAGACTATTTTGAGCACAGGAGGCCTCAGAGAAAAGGAAGCAAGCTGAGTTGGGCTGCTGGTTTTAGTCATCTGAGGAGAACTGTAATCTTGAGATCTGCTTGTTTTCCTAGCACATGGGAACTAAAGAAGAATTTGTTAAAGTCAGAAAGAAGGACCTGGAACGACTGACAACTGAAGTGATGCAAATACGGGACTTCTTACCCAAAATACTAAATGGGGAAGTACTGGAAACCTTCCAGAAATTAAAGATTGTAGAAAAAAGTGAGTCATACTTCATCTTCAGCAGTCACTGATGGTGACAGCAGTGTGTTTCAGCAGGTTTACCTTATGTAAATAATTGGGAAGTGATTGTAAATAAACTTTAAGATACTGTTACAGTCTTTGTAATTACCTTTGGGAGAGTCAGATAAGACATAAGAAGGGGAGGGGCCCACAAATGAGTAACTTGGCCTTGTGTAGGTTCATGTGTAGGAAGGGTTGCCAACTTTCTGAGTATCTGTTCCTAGCTCTTCACCTTTTGTCTTTGGCAGAAGGGTTTTATACTTTTATTATTTAAAAGCTCTGTTCTAAACATTAAGTCCTTTCTTGTATAAATACATACAATCTTATACAAGATCCTCTTATGCAAAGGATCCTTTCTTGTAAAAGGATCTTGCCATTTAGCAACCTTGCATGGATTCAGGCATGTCTGTAGAGATATGGTCTCTCGGTGGAGGAACTGCTCAGTTCTAGCACTGATTTAAGTTGCTAGAACTTGTCAGTTCAGGTTCTGAGATTTGAGCTCAGCCATTGCATCAGGTATTGATCTAGAAGCCTCTATTGGAGTTCTTGGGGCTGTTTATTGGATTGATTTGGTTACTTGCCTGACGGAGGCTGAGTTACTGTTAAATCACCCACCAGTGGTTAAGGCTGGCTTACTGTTACATCACTGCCTAGCTTCTAGAAGAGGTGTGTCTAGGGGGCCAGGTCATATCATTAGCCCTAGTCCAGACAAGAAGCTGTCTGGAGTCAACAGTACATGTCTCTGGTTTGTGGAGGAGCGTCTGGTCAAGGGGCTGGCATCTAGTTAGAAGCGAGAGTGCTGTGTTCCCATGGCACTCTGCCTGTTTATTCTCCCTTAGGAGTCCTCAGATGCACCCTCCCTGGCCTGTGGTGTGCTCTGCAAGGTGGGCTCCTGCAGACTGCATGCCTCTTGCTTCCTTACTGGTTGCCAGTGAGGACTCACCGAGAGAAGGAAGCCATGGGCAGGAGGAGTTGGCGGTGTTTCCTCCTGCTCCCTCCACATCTGTGACCCGTGCCCAGGGGCCTCCTCCACATTCCCAGCTCTCACCGGGCTGTAGGAACACTGTCCCCTCTCCTCCTTTCAGCTGGAGGGCTGCTCCCAGTCCCAGGTGCCTTACCATCCTTGTCGGGCCTCTGGCCCCTGCTCTTCCCTTTGTAAGTAGTCCTTTCCATAAAGTCCATAGCAGGGCTTCTCTGTTTCCCCCAGGACGTTGCCAGGTATGCCTCCCATCACTGGTTACCATAGCTCCAGGTCACTGTCGACCTCCCATGCATTCAGCAGCCTCAGAAGAGGAGTCAGTCATCTTGTGTGCTTGTGTCTTTAGGGAAGGAGAGTGCTGACGAGCAGCTGAGGATGTTAGCCTGCTGGGTAGGTATACTTCTCACTGCAGATCAACACACTGGCATTCTGAAAAACACATCAGGGACTTCTCATGAGCTGTTTTAGCAAAAGTCAATTTTTGGAGATTAATCCTCTGTCAAAATCAAACTAGTGGTTACGAAAGCGAGGTCTGTAACTGCACCCGTGGTGACGTGATCACAGGCAGACTTTGGGAGATCTTGCCTCACAGCCCTTGGCCTTCCCAGTCGTGTCATCACCTCCTTTCCCATCGATCTTCTCAGTCTGCTTTGCGGGTTTGTCCTTCTCTGCAGCAGCCGTCCAGCTAATGGAGGAGCTCAGGCTCTTCTGCCCTCACCCCATGGCCTCTCCGAGGGCAGTCTGTGCACTGGTAGCTTCAGTTGCCATGTTGATGCCAGTGGCTCCTAGGCTTTCCTTTAGCTTCCCCTCTTCTCCAGGGTTGGGGTCCTGTTTCTAACTCCTACTTGGCATTTGTTCTTACTTGTTTCACATTCACTTCAGATTCTAAGTGTTTGTCTTAGTGTGATCGGCCTGCAGCCCTCAGGAAGGACCTGTGTTCGGATGAGGTCAGGTTACTGGCTGGTTGCAGTGAGGGGGACCACTCACTGCAGCAGAGGAACTGTGAGCATCCTGCCACCAGAGGAAGAGACAAGTGTTGCTCTAGGATTTGGGATGGGGTGGAGTGTAGATGGCCTGCAGGCGAGGCTGTGTTCTCATGGGCTCCACGTGGAGTTGGGCTGTGTGTGAAGGGGTCCCCACTGGGTCTCACCACAGTGGCCCTAGGCCCTGTTTCCTAGGAACCTTTAATTTGAAGCCCTGCGGCCAGCTGGCTGTTCAGGCTGGGCTCCATGTCACAGCAACTGCGAGTGCATGTGTTTCTTCCTCCTCACCAGTATAAGTCCAAACAGCAGAAGTTCTGGTAGTCTGGGGTTTTACAGGATAAAACAAACCAGCCGCCACTGAAGGAGGGGTCATCATGACAGTTTCCTCTTGCAGTGTGTCCTTGGTAGAAATATTGTTTCCTGCTAACTTGGCAGCCAGCTTTCTGTGTCTGTTCTCCAAGCCCAGCAGATTGCAGGACAGATTTTCACTTTCTCAGAGTGAGCCAGAGTTACTTTCTCACATCTGACTCATGCTTTCCCTCCCCCACCCCCCGGACACTGGACTTTCCCAGCCTCCCCAGGGCACTGCCATCCAGACGGAGACCCAGGATCTTCCTTGTTGCCCGCCTCTCTTCTCACTCTTCACTCCCCTTCTACCCCCTACCCGTCTCCCAGTGAGTCTTGGGCCTTTTTCCTCAGGGATGCATCAAGAATTCCTCAGCTGCTTCCACTGTCACTGCCACCACCCATGGCCAGGCCCCTGTCATTTTGCTTGACTCCCTGCTTCCCGATAGCAGTCAGTCATTGCCACTCGCCAGTCCACTCTGAATACTGTAGCCTGATTGGTTTTTGACAGTTCAGTTCAATTTTGTCATTCCCCTGCTTACATCAGTTATCAGTGGCTTCTCCTTGCTCTTTGGATAAAGACCAAAAAAATCAAACCCCGACCCAAGCTCCCTTCCACCTTAAACCACAGCTTGAAAGGCTTTGTGTTGTCGGACTTAACCCCCTACCCAGATTCACTTCGTATCTAACTGCCTAACCGTTATCTGTCTTCATGTTAGATGCTGTCGTAATATCCTGTACTTTTTCTTCAGACAGTATGGTTTTAGCCCCCTCTCACAGTGTAAGTTGGTATATTCTCTGAGCCTGGCTGATTCCTTGAGGAATTGCATGAGCTGGAGCTCTGAGGACAGGTCCCTCAGAGCCTGTCCAGGGGTCGCAGGGCAACAGCAGGAGCTGTGTAGCATGCGTTTATCCCCCCCCCCCCCCCCCCCCCCCGGCCTGTGGTACAGGGGAGCGCCTGGCTTTCTGTGCCTCCCATCTTAACCAGAGACAAGGGCAACGTGAAGACAGGAGTGGGTGCTGGCAGGGGAGAAGGAGAGGGAAGCCACACACCCAACTGTGGGGCAGGTTTCTTCAGAGCAGGTATTGGTGCTTTGGATGGGCTCAGGCTGCACAGGCCAGCCAGGAAACAGGGTGGCGTGATGGGTGTCAGGTCTGCCTTTCACATAGGAACTTAGTTTCCTTTGGGAAATTGGGCAGGTAGGTGGGAGAGTCTGGAATAATCTTGCAAGGGTATTGCCTGAGAATCTTTAGGGAACAGATGAGCATCAAGGGCAGAGGCAAGATTAGAAGGAAAAAGGGAAGACTTTTTAGGCTAGGATGCAGCATGTATGAAAGTCACAAATGGGAGTGAGCAGGGTTGGGTATGGATTAAGCTCATTTTCCTGCTTGACAGGTGGAATAGATATTGGGGTATGTCAGAAAATGATGTCAGAAAATGTGAGCAGTTTATAGAAGACAAAATAATGATGGATTATTTTAAATTTGAAAGGAGAGGCAGTTGGAAATGAGCACATGGAAATGACATCTAAATAGTGATCAGAAGGACATTTTCAGGGGAATGATTTTGTATCTGAGTGTAGGACATGTTGAGGACTTGGTTGGCAGATGGAGAATTAATGTAGAATGCTTGTCAAGGAAGGTCTCAACTTTACGTCAGGGTGTGGACTCTGCCTTGTGACAGGATGTGAGGGGAAATGGTTGGTCTGAGAGTAACTGGGGGCCAGGCGCAGCAGGAGGAATCCGAGGATAGAGTCCTCTGCGAGCTGCTGCTCATGAACGTCTACGAGGGTGGCAGCGCTCAGCTCGCCGCAGGTGTCGGGTTGAAAGTGCCTTCCTCTTTGGCACGTGCTTGGCCTAGGTGTGGCTGGGACTGGGACGCCCTCCCTCAGTTGGAGGGGCCCTGGCCGTCAATGTGATAACTGCGGGGCTGCACAGCGCTCACCGCGGGTGTGGCTGCCGGCTGCAGCCCTTCAGATTCCTGCGTTGCTCAAGATCAGCTGTGCACTGTGGAGGTGAGCTTACCCCTTCTCTCCCATCCCTCCGGGCTTATTCTTCCAGCAGTGAAGGGGTTACTACCACATCAGTGTGTGTCAGCAATTTGTTTTAAACTGGGAGAGTCCTGCCTTTGTTTTATTTAAATAAAAGTTTATGTAGTATGTGGTGGTTCAACCTGTAAAATAAATGGAGGTTGTATTTTATGCATAATTATTTGAAAAATTCAGTTTTGTAACACTTATTTTTCAAAATCAGTGGGTACGATGAAGGTGTTTTGATGAAAACAAAAGTGTACTATTAGAGATTTTGGAAGACAGTTGTAGTACCATCCCCAATGTCCAATTTCTGTTTTCATGCTACTATTTTTTTTTTTTTTTGATCACACTGTGCAGTTTGTGGGATGGTGGTTCCTGGTGAGTGAAAGCCCAGAGTCCTTGCCACTGGACTGCCAGGAAATTCTCTCCAGTTTCACTTTTAATTTTGGTTGTTAAGTAGCAAGAAAAAGACAAATCCCAGAGATGAGTTGCAAATGAGAAGCTTTTAAACAGCTCACCTTGCAACTTCAGGATGGTTTTCAATAAACTGATCTTGAAGCTTGAAATCAGTGGGGTCAGATATTATGTTTCTCAGATAAGTCGCAAAGTCTAATTTCTTGTCTTTGGTAGTTGACTGGT